TTTGAACGTATTGCGATTCATCACATACACTGACCAGAGTAAACAGACCATTCCTCCTCCACTTGCGCGTAATCCGACAACAAGGTGACCTTAATCTATCAGCTTGTTGTAACTGTTATTCGCATATTAGGTATCATGGAGAGCAGATCCGTTCCGTAATTGGCCTCACTAACACATCCAGTCGGCAGAAGGCAGTACACTTCGCNCGGCCACTACGGTAGTTTGATTTTTAATCGTTGTCGTTCACAAAGCCGCAGATTCATCGGCTCAGTGTTCACATCCTCATTAAGAGCCGTTCTAAACCCCCAACTTTTCTTCCCATGTCTCCACATTCATACGCCAGAATCGGCCGACGCTAACCTTGCCTGAAATCAGTATGATATCATCGCGCGGCCGGAGGATTAGGCGGTCAATGCGGCTCCGATCGTCGGTAGATCAGTGGCACGTGGTACTAACTCATGAGAGAGAGTTCTCAGTTGTTCAATTGACTGAGGTGGACAGAAGTTGTCATTTAAGCAGTTTCAGACGTTTTGCTTACAAGATATAAATATACATTTGCAGGTGGGGTCCGTTTGTATGTGTGCGTCGAATAGAGGAAAGCAGAACTACTGTAATTATTATTTCATGATCTGCTAGGAGTTGTAATTACTCGAATTCACATCCTGTTTAATCCCGCCTTTCGTTATCAGGTAATTCAGACGACTACGAGGAGTGGGTCCCACATTCATCTGCTGAGGGTGGTAGTGACGGATGTCTACTGGGATTGCGCGAACGCTATCGACGTTTGAAAAAAGACTCTGTGTAAGTGATCTTGCCATTGTCCCGTCTGCATAAATGTTAGCATATTTCACTTCATTCTGTCTAGTTACATCATTACATACTTTGAGTGCTTGTCAAATCCTGCCGACAACTAGATTTTCGGAATAAATTGAAACGAATACTCCAGATGCACCTGATCCTTACGCATTATGGAGATATTTCGTGTTTTTATTGCATACCTTGGTATGAACAACAATAGAACGGATGAGAGTTTATAATCACAAGGATGCATTGTTACGAGGATCGGCACATTGTGATGGCATTGAACCACATTTAGTCAAAACGGATGTGACACTAAATTAGATTGAATCGTAGCTCTCCACCACCGAAACGGGGTGATTGTAATGGCGTATGACGACGAGGACGAGGAATTCAAGTCTCACACCTTCACACTCGGTGCACACAGCATACGCGTTAAGCGGTCGATCACCGCAAATCAGAATGCTGAAGGTCATACGCTCTTCCCCTCTAAATTCATTTCATTTGCTACTGGCTACAATTTTTTCGCCTGTCCACATTCCACGAGATATGTTAATCAGGTAGAGATTGAGTGAGAATAGGAAACTTAATTAGATGCATTTTTGCATGACATTCGACTAAATCTTCCCCTGAATGCGATCATAGATCGAACTCATCCTCCTAATCATAACCAGAACACTTTTGGACCAAGTGATTCAACTGATAACATCTCTTCTTTCTCCGCTCATTATTCGCATTCAAAGTCCCAGGCGTTATTGCGTCGTCCACTAGTCAACGGGTTCCCTCTTTTTCAAGAGCACCGATAGAAGACAGATTCTCCCAGACGCAACTGTTTTATGTACTTCACTCAGTTTCTAACGTGAAACACAAACTTTGACATTTTTTATTGCGAGTAGGTCAGAGTGACGACGTGGTTGGTTATAGTTAGATTAATGCCAAAGCAGGTTAACTTTGTTGGTCAGTGGTTTCTTCTTGCACATTTTTCTTCTTCGTTGTGATCCAACCGGTTTCATAAAACCGTAAAAGTTGCCATTTATGGCGACGAAACAAAACTTTGAATACTAGAATCAAATGATAAACTGCTATCCGGAGATGTTTCTCAATCAATGTAGTCCCGTTTTCCGGCTTTTGTCTTCATCACTTTTGCACATTGCATCAGAGGGTTTACTAACCGATTGGGTATATATTCGACCACCCCTTTGGTCAGGCATATATATATATATATATGTTTTCACCAGAGATTATGAACCTCTAACTGGCAGAATTTTATTACGTACCATATGGCATCTCCTGATCACATGAGGTTCAGTATGCAATTTGACTTATTCTGGAACTGAATTTTTAACGTCGCCTTGTTGTTGTTACTTGTGTCCCCATGCAAGGTACTCAGCAGAATCTATCACTTTAATGGGCTGCCTACTTAAGGTTCTAGGCAATTCCATTCTTATAATTCTCTGTTGATCATGGTGTCCGGTAGATTTATTATAATCATAGTACGATTTCACGGATGTCAACACGTACATTTGTCTTGTCTCGTCTCATGCTTCCATTCGATGACGCAAATGCATGTATTCAATGTCTGTGCAAGT